AAATATTCACATAAAATACCTGAAAAACATAGTCGTGACAGAAACTCTGCAACATACACCAAGACAATCCAGTTCAGCTACGCCTCTTAAGTAAAGCCTCGCCCATATCCACTATAAACTCCAAGATGCTCGATGATTGGCTGAGCTACGGTTACGCCTTCTAGTCGTGCTAACCAATCACTGAGCTTAACAGAATCCATCCACCAATTGTAGCTCGAGAGATGTTCCACTCGTTGAAACGGTTCACTGCTAAGTATTTCCGGTGTAGTTGAGGTCCAAATGTATTGATATCAGTTTTTGCGGGTCGGCTCCCTAGTTTTTGATTTTTCGCCCAATTAATTAAAACAGTGTGGGACTAATTTACTGTTACCGAAAATAACAGGCATTGCTAAATGTAACATGGCATTTTTTATATATTACACATTCAGTGTCTGAAGTGTAGACATCGCAGAACAAAATTCCAAAGATTTTACCACAAACATTATGACAATATAGAACAATAACTGAGAAAAACAGATAAATCTATACGAAAGAACAAATACATATTTTTTTTAAACATACATGCTAAAGTAACCTACTTGCACTGTGCACATACCTAAACTAATACTTTGTAAATGTTTATGCACTTTTATCATTCATTCACTTCCGCTGTCATATCTGGAGTTGAGATAGGGGACAAAACAGGTTTTAAAAAACATTTTTTTTTAATGCAAACTATTTTTCTTGGAATTTAATGTTTATCAAAAGAAATGTCATTTAAGCATAAAAGGGAACAGGTTATAAACAGATTACCTTTAATAAAATAAAAAATTTGATCAAGCACTAAAATGGTGTTATCAGTATCGGCAAATAAATAGGGCACTGATTCCATTTTGAGAGCCAAAGGTTTATTCGACTATTTTCATCTATTCCAGGTAGGCAATAAAAAGTTCTACTGGATTCACTTTGTATTAGTCTTTTTCCTGCTTCACAAAGATAGACAGCAGCTTGACAAAGCTATGATGGCAATTATTTTACATCCAAGTAGTATGCATTTCTTTAGATATATACACACACATCAACTTCAAACAGGTGGTATCAGTATCAGCCAATACTGCACAGCCAGGTATCAGGTATTGGGGCCAAAAAAAGGGCATCGGCGCAACACTAATAAAAATATTTAACTCCAGAAGTCGATACCTGTCAACTCCGTCAGTCGCAATAAAAATAATAAATAATAATAAATAATAAAAATAACATCTTTTTTTTGTTGTTCTGTACCAATATTAACCAAATTCCTACAATGTGATCTAGTAACATTTATCTATCTATTGGCATAATAAATAAAAAAATTAAACTTCTGTTGGGATTCAATTAACACTATTCTTAAAACCCAAATCTTCAAAATGTCTTGGTTGTTAGCATTTAATTTTGATTTGAAGAATATAAAAACAACTTACTTGATTCATAAATACACAAAGAAGTTTTTCGGAATCTTTATTAGCTGGACAGCATAAACTGCACAGACATTTTGTTTATTATTCAAAAATCACCAAACCATTCATCTGATAGTGTTGATGAAAAACTGACTGAGAAACAACAGCCAAAATGAGACTGTTTCAAACTATTCCAAACCTGATGCATTTCCCTTTCTCATTTTCTACATATCATCTTCTACTTTTTTTTTTGCCTTCCTCTCCTCCATGTCCTACATATCAACTTCTTTCAGTCTTTTTCCTCCTTTTGAATTTGGGTTTATGGGTACATCTAATGTATTTCACTGGAAATATTAAAGAAAAGGATCATCCAGATCATATTCATGTAATATTTTATTGATTTAGTCCAAATCTTTTTTTGTTGTTTCAAATTAATATGTTTGTATGTGTAGGTGTGGGATACAATTTAAAAAAATATGGTAAAGGTTTTACTTTTTGCACTTATCCATTAAGCAACAGGCGTTGGGCATGCTCATGTTCAATGAACTACATCACATCGCTGGCTATGGTTTATATTTCTCTTGCTCTTGACTGGATGTATTTGCCATGATTTTTACTATGATGTCTTGAACTCTGCAGAAACAGATTTCTGGTATTTTTAGGTTTAACCTTTAATACTGGGCAGTGGGGATGAAGAAATTCCACTTTCACATCTCGGTGCTCAGAGTCCACAGAAATGATCTTGGCTAGCCAACAGTGGCCATCATACTCTACAACTAGCTGCTCTCCTTTATTGCTAACAGCAGTTACTCTTAGTACCTTCAGGACCTTTTTGGGGCACATGATCCAACTCTTCCTTCATCCATTCTTCTATCTCCATCTCCTCTTCCATTTCACTTCCAAACTCCTCAAACAACAATGCTTACAAAGTTCTTTTCTTCATTGCCCTTCTTGCATCACTATGTTGTTGCTCTCAACATTGTAAACATATGTTAACAGGACTAAAGCACTGGCAAACCAACATTTTGCTGCAAAAGCAATAAAGTTGTCTGTGGTAAATGCTGCTGTCATGTGTATTTTCCTCAAGGAAGGAACTAGCTTTAGAGGTTTTATGAGAAGAGCATCAAATCTTTGCATCTTTTCCTCTTTGATGTTGAACGGCTGAACACCCATCAGACTGTTAGAGATCTTTATAAAATAGGTGTGTTTCCATCTGTCACATCATTTCCTCTCAGAACCAGGTTGCTAGCTGTTCTTTTCACTGTTCACCAAATCCCATCTGGGGCACCCTTGCTATGGGAGGTGCTGTTTAGTTACCTTTTTGAGCCTGTTAAAAAGGTACATTTTATTTCTGTTGAATGTCTTTCTGGTATTTCTTTTTTCCGGTTCATATCTAGAGGCCTTTGTGCTATTTCTATTTTTCTTACTCTGATCTAGCTGATTATCTGGTGGTGGGTCTGCTTGCAGGATTGCACTTTAAATGGACCCTCGCTTACTGGACCTGTTCTGTGCATCTTTCCAAAAATGTCTTTGTTGTCTCCTTGCCCTGTCCCCCATGTCGATTATTTGTATTATTCGTTTGTCTTGAATTCTCTTCTTGGACATTTATTTTTCCTTCTCTTGCATTTCATGTTTGCTCACTGGATCATTATTTATTTTATGCCTTCTTATTTGCTGATATTCTCTATTTCTTCTCCTTCGCTCCTGAACTGACAGTTTTTGTCTAGCTATCCTTTTCTGCAATACAAATTAAAGCAATAAAAAATATTCTAAATTTAAAGTGTAAAATCCAAATGTTAATTAACTGACTTCTGACATTCTTTAATTTACACCGATCAGGACTTCAGAGACGAGGTGGAGCAGCTGGTGGGCCAGTGCAGAGATAACAGCCTGATCCTGAATTCAGAGAAGATGAAGGAGATCATCTTGGACTTCAGGAGGAACTGGCCTAACTACGCTCCTCTGCTCATCAACAGCTCAGCTGTAGAGGTGGTCAGCAGCAACAAATTCCTGGGGGTGCACATCACAGACTCACCTGGATTGTAAACACTACCTCACTGGTCAACAGGGCACAGAAGTGCATATACTTCCTGAGGAGGATGAGGAGAGCCCACCTGCCCCCACCCATCCTCACCACCTTCTACAGAAGCACCATAGAGAGCTTTCTGACCAGCTGTCTCACTGTGTGGTGTGGAGGCTGCAGTGCCTCAGACAGGAACAGGGTTAGAAGAGTGGTGAGAACTGCAGAGAAGATCATCAGGGCTCCTCTTCCCTCCATTAAAGACATTTCATCCCAGTGCTGCATGTCCCGAGCCTGTAACACCATCAGCGACCCCTCACAGCCCCACCATGGACTGTTCTCCCTGCTGCCCTCTGGGAAGAGGTTTCGCAACAGTCAATGCAGGAACAACAGAATCTGCAACAGCTTCTTCCCCACTGCCATCAGGCAGCTGAACTGTTGAAAAAAAAAACTCTAAATCAAGTCAAAGACTCTGCATTTAACTGATAACACCAAACCAAAAAAAAAAAGTTTTTCTACTGCATTCTTGCTCATTTGTCTTTGCACTGCTCTGAACTTCCATTTTAATATGTTTTTGCACCATGTTTTGCCCACTGTTTACGTTTGATCACTGCTGCATATGAAATGGAGATGTTAATTTCACTGCTAAGCTGCTGCTCATTTACTGTCTGAAAGCTGTATCCAAAAGTTGCAGCATCATTTGATCTGATACCAGTTTTTCTATATCATGAAGCCATTGCAATCATACATTGGTCTGGACACTTTTAAGAGCTACTCTGTTTGTATAACTTTGTGCTTGTATAATTAACTTTGAAGTCTGCTAAAGGTTAAAAAGATGCACTTTGTGGCCATAGATGGATTTTATTTCCTTTTATTTATTATTTTATTTGATCCACCTTCAATCAGGAACATCTATGCTTGGATTGAAAAGGGAGCTGATTTATTAATTACTCTGACCTTCTATTTTACCCTTTTTTGATTTTTTTTTTTTTTTAAATATGTAGTATGATTATAATAAATTATGGTTCCAGCTTATTCCTAAATTCCCTATTTTTATACACTTGTCATCTAAATAAATGTACTGTTACTATAGTTAATAATATTTTCCCCCTAGCTTTTATTGTCTTTACACTGTCATGAGTACAGTGCAATGAAATTAACTCACTGCATTAAAGCCTTCCTCTTGGGGAGGAGTGAGCTGCCTTTGTGCGGCGCCAGGGGAGCAGAGTCAGCTTAGGGGTCTTTGCCCAGAGTGGGACCCAGAATGGACCCAGAGTGGCAGTCTGTGGGGTAGTGGAGCTTGAACTCAGAACCTCTCGATTCCAAGCACAATGCCCTAACCACTAGGCTGCCACTCCCCCTTGAGCTTTTTATATATACCGTATATATAAAAAAAGTGTGAAACCTTATAAATGTAGACTGTCCTTTTATTTTAATCTGTTTTATCCTAAACTGTGGTTTGGGGCTCCGGTACTTTTTACAGAAGTCACACTAAACATGGAGTCATTTCATGGATGAGGATTAGTTAGTTTATTTCAAATATGATTTTAGAAATAAAAGAGCAAAAGAAACAGAAATATAATAACACGCATAATCCATACAGATTTCACACTATTCACAGAAGAACAGCTTTATTACTAACATCCTAACATGCTATATTCATAGTGGTTTAAATCCATGGTAGACATAGACACACACAAATGCTGATTATTGATAAGATTATCTAAAATGAAAAAAGGAAATGCGATTTAATGCAACTGGAACATTTAAAGTCAATGTCTAGAAATTAGGATTGATTACATCTTGTCTATGTATTTGTAAGGCCCTGTTAGAAAAGGCATAATGCATTTCCTTCTCAACTTTCAAGGCTTGTTCAAGTTATTACTGATCCAATTTTTTATCTAATGAGAACTTAAATAGATTACACGCTGATAATTATCTATAAATGTTACACCTTGCATTTAAAATTTAAAAAATATTTATTGGAAGAGTTTGTAAAATCATTATTGTACAAAAAAATCAAGATCTATAAAAGTTGCAGACTTAGTTTTATTATAAAGCCACAGGATTTGAAAGTGAGGGGTATGTAGATCACAAGCTGCTGTCCTTTATGGTGCCGGGTTTATCCATTGCCTTTGCTCTGCGAGCGACAGCCTCTAAGATCTTCTTCCTGGGTCCCAGCTGGATGCGAATGCCTTTTAGGTCATCATCAGAGCAAAGAAGGAGGGCTTCCAAGTCCAAATGCTCTCTTTTGAAAGAGGGGGCAAATTCTGGCAAGGAGATGGCGGACAAGAAAACCTCCAAAGGAGATGTTTCCTCATCCTCGTCATCATCCAGTCCCAGATCCTCTTGATCCCAAGGAAGGTCACCATCTTCTATCTCCCCAAAGCCTCCAGCATCATCCTCTGCCTCAAGCAAATGGTTCTCAACAAGGTAACCAAGACTTTCGTTATTCACAGAGGGAACAACATCCTCCGCCTCCATGTTCATCTTCTTCATGAAAATCAGGCCTCCAAACCCAGGTCGGTTAAAGATGGACTGTTTGGCATGGCTTGAGTCGTCTCCGGTGTCGTCATCTTCATAACCCCCCATCTCTCCTCTAAGCATCTCATTCTCATCTTGCTCATCAAAGACATCCAAAAACTCTGGTTTACCGGATGATTCATTCTCCTGTCTACGGAAGATGACATCCCCACCTCTTCCTGATCCCTGCAGCGTACCTTTTTCTTTCTTCCCTATCTTCTGGAGAGTGCCTTTAACCCTAGCTGTAAGAGAGCCAGATTTGTTTGCTGAAATAAGCTTGGAATATTGTTCATTGACGCCACCTGTGGTGCTGCCATCTGAGAAGGCTGATCCCATGCTCGCCTCAGAAACGGACCCATTCATGCTGCCACCTCTGTGCATTCTATCCATCTTGCTCTGGTGCCTCTTCTTCACCTTCTCGCAGAGTTTCACGCGTCTCTCTGCCTCTTTCTCGGCCTCTCTCTTCATGTTTGCTACCTTTTTTGGATTTTGGTTGGTTTGCTGTGAGGCGGCATCATCCAGGAAGCGCACACAGTCCATGCGGCCACGAGAAGCAGCAACGTCCATAGCTGTGTGGAAATCATTGTCCAGACTGAAAACGTTTGCTCCAAAGTTAACCAGAAAGCTGATGATGTGCATGTGGCCATTAGCGGCTGCGAGGTGTAGCGGCGTGTTCCCCCAGATGTCACTTTTGTTGGGATCGCCTCTGTGAGAAAAAGGATGAAAAAAAATCAGCATTGTTGTTTTTACCTTGCTGAAATTCTGTTAACCCTGACAGAGAGAAACAAACAATTACCAGCTCATTTTAAAGACCAGAAGCCTCTTATTTATTATATCCCTGCTAATTATTGATGCTAATATGCAAACAACTTGTCACACCATATCTGCTCAAAACAATAAATCCAATATTCTTAGTATCTAAATCATAATATTACAGCCAAGGATGTAATATGTGCAGTATGAATAAAATATAATCCATTGAAAAACAATGTGGCAAAGGACAGGCTGCTTAAGTAGATCAGCCTATGTTACGTTGGGAAGGTATTTTAACTTTTTGAGGTTATTCATATCATGGTAAAACCACAAAGTTATTGTGTGTTTGTTTTTTGATTTTTTTTCCATTGATCTTTTGTGATTAAGTCATAGTTATGCACATAAATTAGTGCATAACTATGACTTAACAGGAAAATCAGAAGCATTTAGTCTATACAAGCAGAAACAGCTGCTGTACATTTGTTCTTACTTCCATTATTAAATCTAAAACTTTATTTTCCAGCTTTTCCAATTAAAGGCTTTAAGATTTAGTCTCTCTCTGATCAAATAAAGAGCATTAAATGTGATGTCAGATTACAGATTCTCAGCTGGATTTATGTCTCACCTTAATATACAGTTAAAACCACTGTACTCTTGCCCAAGCTGTATAATAGGGGTGGGTTAGTGTCATCCCCTCCTCCATTCTGGACCCTGTTCATATATATATATATATTAATTCCATCCATCTCACAATCAACTGTGTAAACTGATGAAGATGAACTTTACAGCAAACTTCTGCCACCATCCATTTAACAGTGGGTATGATCTGTTTATGTGCATTCTGCATGAAAATAAAAAACTGTCCCTCAGTGGCGATCCTAGACCAAAAAGGGACCAGGGTGGGGCCAGGTTTTTTTTTTAATGGGGGCAGAATCCAAGGTAATAGTTCATCATTTGATATATTTAGTGAGACACAAATTCAAAGAGCCATTTGCAGATCTGTAGATATAGCAGATGAAAAGTATCGATTTTCTTAAATCTAGGAGATCGTTTATCAGCCAATACTCTAAGCTTTTCATTTTTGTTTTAAAGCTCTATCTTGTACAGTTAAAAAAAAATGTTTTGGTTGTTTCACAAGTTTTTTTTTTTTTTTCTCAGTAAAACGACATTGAAACATTAAGGATGTGCTGTGATCTTATAATTGTTATAAGATTTCATTATCGGTCAAAATTAGAATGGGCATGTCAGGCATTTAAAAGATCGGTTGTCAGTCAGAAAACAATAACTGGCTACCCTGAAAAGAGCTTTTAAATCACTGTTGCAATAAAACTATGAAAGTAAAAAAAAAATGGATGGATGGATGGATGGATGGATGGATGGATGGATGGATGGATGGATGGATGTTTGTTTGGGTGGTCACAACAGGGGTCAAGGCAGTTTTGAAGAGACACTGCCCCCTGCTGGCACCTATCCAGAACTGCACACACTGTCTCCTAAATTACGTTTTGTACTTTTTTTTATGATGAGAAAAGGCAGAGAGTATAAAGTTTTCTTTCAGTTGGCCATTTTTCCATTGAGACTATATTTGTGTTGTCAGCAGATTATCAAACCTGAGCTGTGGGTATCGTTCAGAGTTACCATGGAGACGGCAATTTATTGGTAGGTTTGCAGTTTTAACCTCCTCTTTCTATTTTCAGATAATGGCTCATAAGCCTCATGCTGTTGCTGTAACCTTAATCTCTGACATATCTCCTTTGTCTTTGTGTTGCTACTTTTTCACTAAAGCTCTCAAACAATCAGGTCTCACACTAAAAATAAAATGCCCTGTACACTAATAAGGTGACTTCTGGATGCATGTGATTGCATTGGATTAATTTTAAATATATCTGGTATAGAAATACTATATATCTATATATATCTATAGTCCATGGAGCACTGTTCGTGTATTAATCTGTATCAAAAATAATAAATTGAAGACACTCAATTTGCACTACTTTGTGCTGATTTCCACACATGTTCCTCAAATATGCATTTAAGTTACAGCTGAAATTTGACGTAAAACTGGAAGAATCAGGTTTGGGTAGGTTTTGGAGCACACCCATGTTTTTCACTGGTTAAGAACATTTTAACATCACAGAGTGTGACAAGTTTGGATGTTTCTCTGGAAAAGCTAAGGTGACAAGCAGATTGTACCTTGTTAGCCAATAAAGTTTTATTACAACTACTGGAGTGTAGCTATAAATATGCTGCAGGTTGGATTTTGTTTCCATAAAATGATACATAACCTGGCTGTATCGCTGTTCTGTAAGGCCTTATCACTTTCTGATCCTGCTTTGGTAAGAATGAGAATGACTCTTGTCTGACAAAGAGTACAAATAGTTGCAAAGGGAAATCTTGAAATCATAACTTATGTGTTTATGAAAAACTCAACTATTCTAAAAAGGGAGTAAAGCTAAAACCAACTGGTTAGCTATTAGGAATGAATTTCAACACACTTCCTTTTTGTCACAATAATCTAAGCCTCATTATTACTTTACTCCTAAATCTTATCATTTCCAGCTCTTGTTGTATGGAGGAAATAAACAGGATGTTAACCCCATGCTTTACGTTAGCCAGCTTACATCCAGCAAACTTTTTAAAACATTCTTCTTTAGGTATCGCAAGTTTTATGTTTAAGTTCTGCTGTACTGACAGCGGGAAGCAGTGGGGGTATGAATAGATGAAGGGCGTTATTGTTTTACTGCAAGAATTTGGATGACTACACTTTTAGGTCAGCTCATTAAAGAGAGGCGTACAATGAGCAAAATTTGTTTTTTTCTTCATGACACTGCAAGGATTTAAAAAAAAAAATCCATAAAAAGTTAACATTTCTACTAAATCTACTTTCTTGTATTCAATATTTGAGCATTAGGAGCCATTTTAAAGCTTCTGTGAAATTGCTAGAAATATACAAATAACTCTAAACTAAACTAAAAATGACTTTATCTACATAATCATTGTGAAATAAAAAGGTTATCATTCTTACTCTCTGCTGCATATAAGCTGAAGAGCATCGACGTGTCCGTGAAAAGCAGCCAGCAGGGTGGGAGTCATGCCATCGTCATCAGGAGTGTTTAGATGCTTTCTTGTGGCCTCTTTCAGCAGGTCAAGGTTGCCATCAACCGCCGCTTTGTGGTACCGAGACATCTTTAGGTGCTTTTTCTCAAATTCCCTGCCACTTCTCCTCTTTTTGCTCTTCCCTGGTGTCTGATGAGTGACAATGACTGTGGACCCAAGCAAACAAAGTGATCGCTGGGCGTGAAAGCTGCTGAGCAATAAAACAAAAGCAAAGTCCAGTTCCCTGCTGTCAGAGGCCTCCCTTCCTGCTCCACTTATCGTCGTGGTTACTCTGAGATCTCATGATCTCAAATAGAATATCAGAGCTTTCTCAGCTCCTTTATGGTCCTTATATAATACATAATTTAACATAAATATTTCTTAGAAAGATTAAAAGGAGTTATATGACTTAAAAACTCAAAAATATTCAAAAGGAATGTGATAAATATTCATATAAAAACAAATACAAAATCTCTACTGTAAAGCAAAATGCAAAGTGTAATCTATCTATCTATTAATAATAATAGAAATTTAATAATTGAATAAAATAATACAAAGAATGAAAGACCCGTTGCGAGACCCATTAAATGATAAATGATTAATAATCACACTTATTTTTAAATAGGCTACAGTTAAACATATACTTTCTACAAGCATGATTAAAATGTTGTAAACTGAGAGGGGAGTGATGGGCTAGTGGTTAGGACATAGAACTTGGAATCCTGAGGTTTGAGTTCTAGCCCCACTCCCACAGAGTGCCACTCTGGGTCCCTGAGGAAGACCTTTAACCCCACACTGCTCCCTGCACAATGGCAGCCCACTGCTCCCCCAAGGGGATGGGTTAAATGCAGAGAGTTCATTTCGTTGCTGTGTACTTGTGACAGTGTAATAATGATAAAAGCTGGAAAAAAAGAAGACTTAGTTTATGAGGAATTAAAAAAAGGTATTAAACAAATTTCAAATCAGATTGGTATGAAGAAAATCTGCAGAAATCAGCAAGAAAAAGACATTCCAAATAACTGCCAATACTTCCAGGTCAGATCTTCTGAGCAAGTTTACTCCCTAACAAGAGTGCAAGTCTTCAGGATGACAATATATATAGGAAAGACATAAAGCAAGAGAGAGCGAATGGAGAAGTACCAGGACTTCTGGAAAAATATAATTGAACAGGTGAGACTAAAACTGATTTTTTGGACACCAGTAAATAAGGCATTTTTGCATCTAATCAAATATAGCATTCAAATCCAGAAAAAAACCCCACAATAATACTAACTGTGAAACCAGTGGAGGTGTGATGATTAGGGAGTGTTGCACAGTGCAATCCAACATTCAGTCCATCACACACAAACCACATCCACACTCACTCTCTAACATCTAAGGGCATTTCAGAATCACTAATTAACCCAACGATCATGTTGTGTCTGTGGGAGGAAGCTGGAGTACCTGGAGAGAACCGTCACTTGTACAGGGAGAACATGCATGTATCCGAATTTGTTGGAGGAAAATATGGGGAAAAAAAGCCCTTGAAATAGGCTGAAAAATAAAAAAAAAGTTTCAAAGTATAAACTGTTCCACTGTTATTGTACCCCTTTTTATGTTTTATTTTGTTTAACAAGTAGATCAGAGTTAATAAAGTGGCATACAATAAATTACTTTCTTTTTCAGACATTTAGAAAAAGGGGGTAAACGTTTAGCTGATAAAGTCAACAGCTCTTTTTTTTCTTTTTTAAATAAATTTAAAAATACATTTTAGAATAGAAAAAATATAATAAAAAATTTAAAAAGAAATAATTTAATAAATAAATACAGTCAACAGCTCTAAGTGGTAATTACCCTCCTGTCCAGCAGGGGGCGTATTTGTGCAACAATGTGATTTACTGAAAAACCGAAGATGAGTTTATCAACTCTTTTATAATTTTCTGTTCCTCCTCCTTATCTTTGGCCTTCAAAACATCATCATGCAGCTCTAGCCGTAAAAAAAAAAAGGAAAAAAGAAAAGTGTCCTTGTGTCTGAGCCCGGCCCCCACCAAGTTATTCTGCCCGGGTCTCTTCCTGGTTACTGCCGCTCTTCCAGAGGTTGAAGACCCTGCAGAGATGTCCGACAATGGGGGTTCTGTTGTCGGCCTCCTGTCTTACGAGACACTGGTTCATGCGATTGCAGGAGCAATGGTAAGCTGGAGTTTTAAATCCTCTCCTGACATTTGACCCACGCTGACTTCCCCACGGAGGACAGAAGAGGTGGAAAACAGCGTTTTATGTGGGTGTGCTGCAGTGCTGTTGCTGTGCAGGTGGTGATGTTGTAATATCTTATCTTCCAGGGCAGTGTGACAGCCATGACAGTCTTCTTCCCTTTGGATACAGCAAAAAGCAGATTGCAGGGTGAGTTAGGGCTGTTATTATGCATCAATGTGTAAAGAAACTACACCTTCTCCCCAGTTTAAGTCCTAAACTATAAAGAATTAATGAAAGAAATCAGGTCTTTTTATGTTTTATAAATAATATAATCCAAAGTGTACCATAACAAAAAACAAAACATATATGTGCCCTTATCTATGAAACTAAAATCTATCCAACATCTATAAATAATAAAATGTCTGACATTGCACAGATATCTCAGCACTGCCCTCTGTAACATTACTTTATTGATGTTAAGGTCTGGACTTTGACTGGGCCATTGCAACACCATGATTCTCTACTTCTCAGATAATCTGTTGCTGCTGTGTTCTAGCTGTACACATAAAGTATAAGAAAATAACTTCTTCTCGTAAGGGTCATCTTGGTGGTACAAACTCATAAACCAATAGCTTGTAGAGGGTCTGTTAAAAATGAGAAATTTTAAGCAAAGGTCAACTGCTGGGAGCAGACAGACAGTTGATGAATTGCTTACAATGTATGATATTGTTGCTTTTCACAGGACTTGAATCCTGATATTCTAATGTTTTCTCCCCAGTGGACGACAAACGGAAATCTCAGTCCACTCCTGTGATTTTGGCTGAAATTACAAAAGAAGAAGGCTTGTAAGTGTTACTTTGTTGTCAAAGCTACAAAGTTTAAGTAGAAACAAGTGCAAAAAAAAAAAAAATAATAAATGCACAGAACTACATGTCTAAAGTTCTCAACCACTTCTCCCAGTTTGGCTTTGTACAGAGGCTGGTTTCCAGTCATCTCCAGTCTTTGCTGCTCCAACTTTGTCTACTTCTATACCTTCAATGCACTGAAGAAGGTAGCTGCATCTAGATCAGGCACGCCCAGACCTGGTAAAGACCTGCTGATGGGGATGGTAGCAGGTAAACACCATAACGTTGCCATTTATTTTATGTGTAATCAACCAAACATGCTATAATGTTAAAGGAATTTGCATTTGTTTTATTTGCTCTGTTAGTTTTGGTTGAAGTTTCTTCATATTGATATTACTCTGCATACCCCTATTGGAGTGAAATCAATGCATGTTTTTTTTTAACTAACCAAAATCTTGAAACTGTGCTTTAAACTCTTCTTAACCAATATTTCACAGCAATTATGACTACAAGGTTATTTGAGTATGTTCTCTTGAACAGACTGGGAGGTGTTTCTGAGAAAAAGAGATGTCCGATGCTTGTTAGAATTGGATTAAAAAAATCTATTTTTTTTCTATTTGACTGTTTTTTGTTTTTGTTTTGTTTTGTAGCTACATGATAAAACTGTGGAGAAACAATAAAACTGGGGGAGTGGCGGCCTAGTTGTCTCCCACAGACTGCCACTCTGAGTCCCTGAGCAAAGACCCTTAACCCCACACTGCTCCCCTGGCGCCAAACAATAGCAGCCCACTGCTCCCCGAGGGGATGGGTTAAATGCAGTTCATTTCGTTGCTCTGTACTGTACTGTACTGTACACTGGGGACAAAACACAGACATTTAATTATCCAGGAAAAAAGGGCTATTTAGAAAGGTAAGGGCATAGGGGTTTGACTTAACTCAGAATTTCAATAAAATATGAATTTGAACAAAACCTTATTATTTTTGTAACATTTTAAGACATCAATACATTTACATGGCAAAATGAAGGTCAATGTAAACACCAGAAATGGTCACTTGGTCTAAAACAAAAAACAAACAAGAAAACAAACTGTTTCTATTAGAAATTCATGAAAAACTTTTAAAAAGTGAAAAAAAGGTTTTATTATAAAAAACATCCGAAAATTATGCTGATACAGCCACATATGTTTGTATGTTTTTAACTTATTTACTTTTTAAGCTTAATTTACAGTAAGTAACATCCAAGGTCTCATCCGATTGGTCAAATGCCAAAATGACCTGTACTGTCGGGTAGTAGGATCTTTGCTGACTGGTTGGATATAAATCCTGTGACAGCGGTGCACAAGTTACTAAAAACTTTGGTTTAGGGTTGAGATTTGTTGCAATGCTAAAGTTTGTCACCTCCCAACAGGTTTTCTTTCAAGATTCTATCTTATTTAGCCTCAATTTTTCTAATATGATCAGCTTCCCTACAGCTGTTGACAAAAAGCCACCCCGCAGCATGATGCTGCCACTACTATGGTTCTCTTTAGAGTTGTTGTTTAGGGCAGGCATCTCGACCCTCAGTCCTCAAGGCCCGCTGTCCTGCAGGTTTTAGAGGTTTCCTTGCTCCAGCACAGCTGATTTTAATTGAAAGCTGATTAACAGGCCTTTGGTCTACTGCAATAATTATAAACAGCTGTGCTAAAGCAGGGAAACCTCTAAAACCTGGAGGACAGCGGGCCTCAAGGACCGAGGTTGGGGATGCCTGGTTTAGGGGGTTTTCAGGTGTTTCCTTTCTTATAGGCTAAAAGGTTTCACCTGCCTGATCTGAGCAGAGCACCTCAAGCATTTTAGGAAAAGCGTGCCCATAGCATGATACTGCCGCCAACATGTTTTAAAGTAGAGAAATGCGTCATCTGGCCTTTTTGTGTTCATACAGGTGTGGTGAATGTTCTCCTGACAACTCCCATGTGGGTTGTCAACACCCGACTGAAGCTGCAGGGGGTGAGGTTCAGAAACGAAGACCTCCATCAAACCCAGTACAGAGGGATATTTGGTGTGTAAATAATATCTGTATTTGAATGAAAACACTTTGGATCTGCTTTTTATTTTGCGTTGTCCAACACTTTCCACCTTCCAGATGCTTTCTCGCAGATTATCAGAAACGAGGGAGTGGGAACCCTGTGGAACGGCACTCTGCCCTCCCTCATTCTGGTCCTCAACCCGGCTGTGCAGTTCATGATCTATGAAGCTATGAAGAGGGAGGCCGGCAAGGGAGGTAGCAAGGTGAGAAGTTGCATTTCTCCTAGATTTTTATTGTATCATAGTCTAGCAATCACTGAGAACACTGTTGCATCTTTATCTCCTGGCCCAGATATCTTCAGCAAAGATCTTTCTCATTGGAGCAATAGCTAAAGCCATTGCTACCACAGTCACATACCCCCTCCAAACCATCCAGGCCATCCTGAGGGTAAATACGTCTTCTTTCCCTCTTTTTTTTTCTCTGAATTAGCTTCTATTTGTAGCTAAAATTAGGTGATTATGCATAAAAATTCTAACTAAATGAAGTCCTTTAACTTTATTTTCCCTCCTTATCAGTTTGGTCAGTATAAAGACGACGGCAAAGGAGGCCTGATGGGGAGCCTCTCTAACATTGTTTCTCTCTTCATGGATCGGATCAAGTGAGTACAGCTATGAATGGGTTCACAAAGCAGTCATGTCATCATGAAAACACGTCTCTGACGGTTCTGTGACGTTGCAGGAAGCACGGCTTTCTTGGTTTGTACAAAGGCTTGGAGGCCAAGCTGCTGCAGACGGTGCTGACGGCCGCCCTCATGTTTGTTATTTACGAGAAGATCACTGCCGCCACCTTCAAGGTCATGGGCCTGAACAAGCTGAAGCGCTGAGAGCTGCTGAGCCTGCTACTGATTGTTATTAACACTTTGAAGTGTTTTATCTTCTTTGGACTTGATGCCTTTAAGGACACTGATTTCTGGGCTGCCTAAAATATTTATAATAATAGCTGACGGGTATAAAACTCCCTTACCCTTTCTGCTAGCTCCTATCTATGCAAACACATCTTTCTTAAACTTGATTCACTAATTAAAAGCAAATATAAGAGAGATTTTCACTTAATTAAACTAAATCTAATAGTTTACAAACCTGTTTTTATAAAAAGCCAGAGGCAGAAACTGTCGGTATCCCAGTACATTAGAAAATAAATAAAGGGCCAGTATTTCTGTTTGAAATGCCTGATGATCTATAATGAATCTGTGTGTCATTAGAAGTGTGCTGGACCTTAAGAAACTAGTAATTATCTGTAGTCTTAATTAAAGGCACTGGACCTTGTCTTAACTGGTGCTTTAATCTCTAAAACACCAAGTTTACATTTTTCTACTTGTAAAATAATAAAATAGCCAGTGTGTAGATGTCATGGTTATAAATGAGAGGTGATGCCTGTAATGGCATTAATGAATTAAAAATTTAAATGCACTTTCCAGATCACCAATGATGGAAATCAGTTTTTAACAATAAGTGCATGTATTTAAAGTGAATGTTAAGAGACATGAAGGCAGGCTGATGGTCTATGTTTTATTGTTATTAATAAGTGCCTAAAGATGTCATGCACGGGTGGGGGAGGGCTTAATAAGATGTTTTTTTCTTAGTGTTTGTAACTTTCAGCATTTTGCCTCCATTAGTGAACATTTCTTGGTGCTGCAGTCATTTGTATCAGTTTAGTTTCTCTTACTCTGGTGAATGAAAGTTTCATTTTTCTCTGACTGGAACACTCCCAGATTTAATTTTCTGTATTCTGTTTGTTTGTAATGTTCTGTGATTTAATGACTTTTCTTTGTGCTTAAGTGAAGCTTAACATTAATGCACAGAACTCAGACATATTTGCCTTTTACCAGCCAGGACCATAAGTTTCCGTTATTGCCTTATTTAAAACAGTGAAACTATTAGATTTACTTAAAATGCTTATAAACAGAATTGATTTATTATCTAACTTTTTATTACAATTTTATTTTGCTTTTCAGAATGATTGTTATGACGAGGGATCAATAAAAGTATATAAAAAAAGAAGCTGATTTGTTTTTTACTTAAAAGTCCTAAAGATGGAAAAAAAAAAAAAAAAATCATCCCTGCAAAAATGAGGCTAAAATCCCACTGCAGGCAAGTACTACACAAATGTGATATTTTGGCCCACATGCAACTCATGTCTGTGATTTTCACAGCAATCTGAAAAAAAACCCAAAGTGATCTGAGGCTCTTCTATTTGTGGTACCAAACGGTTAACAAAGGGTCTGCAGTCATGTTTCTCACTACACATTCACAGAGACGTCTGCAGAAGATGCTAAATCACCTACTGCTTTCAAAAGATTCTTGTTACTAGCTGTACTGTTTATTTTTTCTGACCCTGTTAGGTTTATTCAATGATGATTATAAAGTTAATGTGTGTGCATATAAAACATTGACAAAATGACATGCTTCACTCTCTTGTGATTCAATCAGGAGAGCATTCTGTCTTATGACCTGATCAATTGTCCTGTCAGAAGAATACTTTGTTTTGTAACCCGCCCCATGTGTTATGATCTGTTAATAAAAAGGCTCTGAAGGAGGGGGTCCGAGAGAGACTTGGAAAGTTGGGTTGCGGCTCATTTCTCCTGCAGGAGCTGTTGAAAATCTCAGTTCCTCTTTTACAAACCTACATTTTTGAACCCAACACCATCCTTCTTTGTTAATGATTCATTCATGATAAGAGTTTAATAATCATACTGATACTGACATCCACTATTAAGAGTTTTTTGTTATGTTTTAAACAAAGCTTTATTGAATATGTTCAGTTCATTCAAGACGTCGGCCTTATTCTGGGAATGCAGCTCGCAGTGAAGTGAACTGTTCAGACTGTAGTCTGAACGAGAACTTAAATATCAATCCCTGCTGTGTGAATGTAGCCTGATAGATGGTTGTTATGAGATGAAAGGGTTATTAAATTAAATTCATGTCACATCAGTATTTTTCATATCAAGAAGTTAAAAACAGTCAACAGACCAACTGCTACATATTTTCTTAGGTTATTATAATATCAGTCTAATCGATAGCAGATATTTAGGGGCCAAATCAAAATGTATCCATTTACACAATAAAGATGGAACAGTGTTAAATATCACACATGTATATAAGTATCTGAAATGTAAAAAGTTCTTCAAATTTATCATTTTTGCTACTGAAACTGATTTTTTTTGTTGCCTTTTAATACTTATGGTTTGAATTTTGTTTTTATGGTGTTTTAGTTTTTATTACACTGTTTTAACCCCCTATTTTAGCACTTTGTAATTTAATACAGTAAATATTAAACAAAATTAATGGTATTTGGAAACAAAAAAAAGCTAATTATACTGACATAAATCTAAAGGTGTGTGATGTTGAAATTAAGAGTTTGGGAAACAAAAGTTTTGGGGAGAAGTAATTGATAGAAAACTAAGCTGACAAATAGAATATGGAAAAGAAAAAATGTCAAATTCAGAAGCAATTTTAAATTAAAAAAAGACATGCTTAATTTTAAAGGTTTGTGTTCAATACATTTCTCCCTGATACACACTTATTTAAAATACCATGTGGAATAAAGGGGAACAAATGACAAAAATACCTTAAAAAATGCTGTGTTGCAACAAAAAAGAACCAGAATTCAAATATAACAAAATGTAAAGATATAGAATAATGCAATAAATGTACAAAGCAAAAAAAAAATAAATCAGTACCAGATTGTATTCATTTTTTTTTATTGCAGAGTAAATATAATTTTAGAGATAAATGTAAATTTACTTTACAGAAAGTTAAAAAGGAAATCCAAATGAGACATATTTCATTTGCTGGAGTTAGAATGTGGAACACTGTTATTTTAGAGTTATTTACATCATATCCTAGTTTTAAAAAAGCAGTCCACAACATCATATTTGAAAACTATCAATGTAAGTGAAGTATATTTTCCTGTATTACTCAGTTTTTTATTGTTAGGTGAAGCGTAGCTTAATTCTGTTGTATGAAGGCAGGCATTCATAAACTATTGCTTCAGCCACAGTATTATTAGCAACTCAAACAGATCATTAACACGAATAGCAAATGGAAGGAAAGGGCAATACATGCACTAAACATGATCTTAAGGCATGGCTGCTTAATACATGAATAAATCAGCAAATGCAAGCTCGTATCGGCCGATACTGATACAAGATAAAACCTGCAATATTAGATAAAGAAAGAAAAGCAACAGCCGGCCAACGTCTATCTCTAGGAAATAATTTAATTCAATAATTTCCCAGAATGCAGGAACCCTGGATGAGGATGACTGTGAGTGCCGTTAGTGCTGATGGTGATACTATGTAGATTCAGTCATTTCCTTAATGTACCAGTCAGGCAGGAAGGAAAACGGAGAGTCCCGGTGGACTGAATAGGTCACATCTTTGTGCGGCTCCCAGGAAAACAGGTACACGATGCTGGAAAAGAGATAGTTCATAATCATCAGACCAAACCAAGTTGTGCTGACTGTAGTCCATCAGTCAGTCAGTCCGTCAGTCCATCCATCTGCTTTATTCAGGGCCGGGTCACGGAGGCAGCAGTCTAAGCAGAGATGCCCAGACTTCCTGATCCACACACACTTCCTCCAGCTGTTCTGGGGGGGACCCCGAGGCAACACCAGGCCAGCACAGAGACATGGTCCCTCCAACGTGTCCCGGGCCTTCCATTAGGCCTCCTCCCAATTGGACATGCCTAGAACACCTCCTGAGGGAGGTGACCAGGAGGTATCTGAAACAGATGCCCGAACCTCCTCAAGGAGCCACCACAGCTGGCTCCTTTCCACATCCCCCCCACTGACTGTAGTGCTCTTCTAAATCAAAATCCAGTGATTTTTTTAATGGGTGGATTAATTATCAGTAACACCTGAAACGATGTAGTGCAGATTACCCACCCCTGCACGCTCTGCATTACACCTACCATCATGCATTCTTCTGATCGTTTGTGTCTGCAGATCTGCAGCTCTGGAGCAGACTATGTTTGCTACTTTAAGGGCTGATTTTTCTACAGATTTTGCATCATCTTTAATATCTGTCTATTTGGTGAAAAAAAAAAAAACAGAGTAGCTTTTCATCTTAACTCACCGAGGACTGTCCTCTGTCACTTCCCGCTTTAGAAAAGACAGGAAATCACAGCAGAAGTTCATGCACACTGTTGGCTTCCAGCAGTTATATTCATTCTAAAAAACAAAGATAACACTGTGAGAACTCAAACAAGCGGGTGGATTTAACTCCACTTATGATGAGGAAAAAGTTTTTTAAAGCTTTTTGTACCTTGATGAGCTGGGAAATCTTGGAGATTTGGAAAGTCTCCACGGAAACTACGATCCCATCCTGATCCCTGAAGCCTGCAACCACCCGTGGGACTCCAGGGAGAAAAGACTGAGCCCACCATTTTAATAGCTTAAACCTGACACACCAACCGGAAAAAATAAAGTGCATGATGAGCACGTATGTAGACACATCGAGTAAAGACTGGTGATATAATCACAACCTGTGGAAGTTGCTTTGCTGTTTAGGAGTGCAGATCTCTGCAGAGGTCTTCAGCTCCACGTAACAAGCAGGAGCAGCTGGAGCATCAGGATCTCTGACTCGACAATCCACCTCTCCAGAGAACAGAAGTTTGTGATCGGTGAGCCGTGTTTGGACCACGGTGCAGAAAGCTTCATTGGTGTTGACCACTCCGCCGGGGTCAGGCGCGCTCTTTGGGTTATCTGCAGGTAAACGATAATCACTCTACTGGCAGTTCACAAGGTCTCCTTGTAAAAATTACAGTTTTTTTCTCTCAGCTTTCCATTTTTCTCAGAGATTCAGGTTCTTAAAAAAAAAAAAAAAAAGTTCATTATATCCAAATTTGTCAATGTTATAAGAACATATACACCACAAAAGATGTATTTAGATATAGGTTCCTTAATCTTAATACACTTGCTTTCCCTATTTTTTATATAATTGATTTATTTTAGTGTATATATAGACATTTCTTTGTGTTTGATTTAAAATATTTGCATGGTTAGAAACATGATAATATTTTTGAACTGCCTATTTTAGAACCTATCCTTTGTAATACTACAGCTCTTAGGTTGTGGGTTTCCTTGTAATTCTTAGTATTACCTAAGTATAGGGGACTGTGCTTCAAAGCAGACTCATCTTCTAGATAAAGAAATAAGCTGCCATTAAAGAACAAACCTTTTGTATTATATACACAACCAAAATAGCATGTAATTACCAAGAGCCAGTTATTACACATTCAGGGTGGACCTAGGAACCTTCAGCAGGCTCTTGTTTCCATTACAACTGGTCCCTAACGGATTCTTTTTTTCATTGACTGTTATAAATGTTGTCACTTGGTTGTAATATACCTTATCTTTTTCCCTACTGTATAATATTGGTTCCTCTTGTCTATTTAAAGAAGTCAAATTTTACTTGTATTCTATCTTTCAATCATACGGTCACATTACCTTGTTGATCTGTCCCCAAATGTTTTATTAGTGAAACTGTCATCGGGATATTAGCTGCTTTTTCCTGAGAAATTTTACTGTTGTCGCCATTTTAACATTTCATAATAAAGCAAATTCCACCAAATCTAAAAGACTGTAAAAAGCGTTTTTTTTAGAATAAGCATGTTATGCCCAATAATATTTTGCACTAGTTGCTGAATCCACCTAATATTTTCTGATCTTTTTTGTATGTCTTTTTTATTACATATGTTTATTAAATGGTGTGAATTTATACCATTTGTACATTGGCACATTTGCATATTGAAAACAGCACCAATATTTTTCGTTTTCTTGCATGTGGTCTTTTCTGGAAACTGACAGATTCATATTAAAAACAGAATAAGAAATCCACATCATCAAAAACAGCAGAGCCTATGTCACTGAGAGGATAAAAACTCTCAATTATCAGTTTGTATTAACAATAAAAAAAAAAAAAGCAAACCTACCTGCACACATGTACTGCTCAAACTTGTATCCCCAGTACATCATCTCTTTGTTCCACTCTGGGCGGTTCAGGCGTTCTCTGCGAGCAGCTTCGGTTTCCACCTCACTGATGTAGAGTGTGCCGTTAAATCGGGTCACAGCCAGCATCCAGCCCTCTTTCGTCTCGTACGGCGTAGTGAGCAGCTTGGTCAGGTGGCCCCTCCAGGTCACAAAGTCGAAGTCTAAAGGGCTGATTGGAGCAGAGTTGGGTCGTTTAGTATTCTACTTTTATTTTACATATTCTTGACCAAAAACTCACCATGAGGTTTTTTTCAGCTTTGACTTATTGGCTACTATCCACCGCAGGATATGGTCCAGCTTCTCCTTCACATTTTCATCCCTCTTTACATAACGCTCCCTGTAACCATCCCTTAGATCAAAATTGGGATTTCTGTCAGGTTCCACATAGTATCTCATCTGCCTGTTGTCATTGAAAAACCTACGCTGAGAGTCCAGGGAGAAACACCCCACTTCCACTGGCTGCTTGTACAATGGAAAGTCTCTCTCATAGTGTTCCTTCTTTGTGCTTAAAGTCTTGGACCGGAGCGGGGTTTGATCTGGAGTTGCGCCCATCTGGTGCCTGTGGTGATTTGTGTGTCTGAAATGTGCATTGTCACGGTGGTTTATTCTTCTGTTATCTCCTTCCCGTCTGTGTGATGGGTAGTGGTGGTGGGAGTTGGTAAGCGGACTACGGGATCTGCGCTGGTCCATTCCTAATGCAGAAAAGAGCTTGATCGATGAGAGATACCAGCCATGCATTCAATTGTTTACATAAAAAATACTTGGAAATGTGTTTTAGTTTCCAGATGTTTCTCAAAGAAAAGGAAATCCAAGAATTTTGAGCAACAAATTATCTAAAACTACACTGCAACACAAACCATAAATTAAATAAAAACACATTGAATGTCCTAAATGAAGGCAATAAATATTACCCCAATAAGCTGTATAAAATTAACCCTTCAAAGTACATAAACAGGTTAAAGAAAGCAAAGAAAATTTAGACATTTAAAATGAAAATAGATTCATACAGTGAGGTATTGTAGAAGAAACTTAATATAATATAGAACAGAAATGTGCACATTTGTGTGAAATTATAGTAGTTAAATTTCAGTTTTGTCTTGAATGCCTTTGAGTTGTTTTATGTGGTTTACAGGTAGAAAGATTGGATTTTTTTTAAACAAACAAAAACACAGAACCGAATCAGCAATGAATAGCGTGATTAAAGAACACACCTTTTAAGGCTATTGCTCATACATTTAAAGCTTCGATCATCGGTCGATATTGTGTTTAAAAATTACCATTTATTAAGCTGCAGACAGTTCAGCAACTTTTAATCTAACAATACATGTTTTCATCTGCTTGATTAAAATGTTGCGTTAGCTAAAGATTGTCTACACTGTATAATATATACTGGATGTTTTAAACAAGTCAAAATAAGAAAATTAATGGAAACATACCTTTAAATCAAAGTACAAACGAAACACTACTTATATTAACGTACTTATTTATAAAACACTGGTCCGGAAGCGGTTCTGCTGCCTAGCTTTAAATGCTACAAACAAACGGTACGCAATTTCCGGTTGCTGTTCCACACCGGTCCATTAGGTGGCAGCCGCGACATTTTACCCAAATAGAAACGGCGTACGAGAGGGTTTAAAATGAGCAAAAAGGGCTTTAGAGGGAACAATAACAATTACAATTCCTTTTGAGAAAGGGGAAGGAAAATGGCAAAAGACGTGGAACAAAGATAAGAAAGGAAGATGATTTTATAAGGTACAAAATTCAGTGTCAGAAGGGAAGAAGTAATCAGATTAAGAGTGGATCAAACCTATTTAAATGAAAATTTATATTTAATAGGGAGGAAAAATAATGATAATTTTGAAAGATGTGGAGAAAAAGAAAATGTAGAAAATATACTGATTAACTGTAAAGCTTATGAACATTGAAGGATGGTGGGAAGGACAGGCCAAGAATGGAGCCTTAAAGGAATATTGGGAAATTAAGAAAATATAAAGGATAAAGGATGTTTACAGATTAAGGAAAGCATTATTTTTGTATCTACAGAATATAAAGTAAAAAATACAAAAAACGAAATTTGATGTAAAGTAATGTTGCTACACACTCATGTACAGTAGGTGGCGGTATGCGCCTTAAAGTTGCTTGTGATCCGCCATAATAAAAAAGAAGAAGAAGAAGAGCGTTTAAAAAAAAAATCGTTATTTTTTTCTTTGAAAGAATGAATTTATAAGGAAGTAAAGGGTTTTTTGATTTATTCGTTTTCAAAAAGAGGGTTAAATCTTTACAGCATTTACAAGGTAACTGTTTTAGGCCTTTGAGGAAAACGTTTGACGCGCTAACATTGGTAGCTGGGCTAAAAAAAAACCTGCTGCTAATTTGACAGGATTTATGAAAAACATTCTTTCCAAACACATACAGCAGGTCTGGTAAGGTAAGGAGCCGCTAAGCAGGGTCTGCGAATGTGATTTGGATGAAAGTTGGCGAATCTGGGAATGAATAGAAAACGCGCTCTGATTTCCGACACTTTCAAAGTGAAGAAAAGGAGAAATGGAACAGAAAAGTTCGGGGCTGTTAATGAAGGAAATGGTGAGTGTCCTTAAAAGCCCTTTGTAAAAACAAAAATGGATAAAACAAACTGCACCTGTATAAATGTTTTCCCCATATTTCACCTAAAAGGACCAGCTGACGTGAAGTCTACGCTGCAGTACCTCATGACATTGTTTCCTAGGAAGCTCTTTAACGATACCCTTCCTCCTATTGTACTGAAGCACCAGCTTTACAGCATCCACAATGACAAGACCCTGGTGGATAAAGAAGTGGTGAGCCAGTTTTTTAATCAGTGCACATTTTGCCAAACTACAGCTAAAAAAACTGAAATAAAATGGTGCCTAAATAGAATAGCAGCTTTATTGTCCCACAATGGGAATATTCAGCTGCAAAAATATTATAGAAAACACATTTGGAGCTTAGAAAAGTGTATATGTGTTTAAGAATAACATGATAAAAACTTAAGAATATTGAAAAGGATTGTTTGATGTGAAATATTTTGCAATGCACATTTCTGATTGAAGTCCTGACCTTGCTGAACAGAATAAACTCCAGGAGAGTGGGGAGCTGCTGATCTTCCAGCTTGGGTTTGACACCGAAGCGTTTGGGCTGGTTTTTGCATCGGACTACAAGGCCAAAGTGCTGGCTGGCCAAGAGGGGGAAGTAACGCAGACAACCGTTGAGAAGTTCTTGGAGAAAGTGGTTTCCTCCTGCACGGATCTGAGCTTCAGCAAAGACAAGATGATGAGAGAGTTTCTTTTCACAGACTCGGAGATAACGTACGAAGAATACTGGGATATACTGAGTTTTATTTATTTAGATTCTTAAAAAGAAAAAAAATGAATATTTTTAGTTGCCATTAAATTCTCAGAGATCATTGGATTATTTTCTCACCATAAAGGCAGCTGGTGAAGTCGGGAGTCCTGACTGTGAGGGATGCTGGCAGCTGGTGGCTTGCTATTCCCAACTCTGGCAAATTCACAAAGTATTTTATTAAAGGTTGGTCATAATATAATTATTAGACCCCCATTATATATTTATCTGATTTCTGCATCGTCTGCCCTTAGAGTTCCCAAAAAGTAAAAAAAAAAAAACAATCCACTGGACTTTGTTTCCAGGTTTGAAGATGTTTCGCTTCCCATCCAGGAACCTTATAAAATTCAGAATGTCAGAAATGGCATAGAGTTCAAGGCTTTATAGAATGAACCAAAAACTAAGCCTTGTTTTAAGCCAAAACAAGGCTTTTTTGTTGGTCCACTCTATAAAGCCTCCAACTCAATGCTATTTAAGGCATTTTGAATTGAAAAAGCTTCCTGTATGGGTAGCAAAACGACTTCAAACTTGGAAACAAAGTCCAGTGGATTTTTTTTTTTTTTTTACTTTTTTGGAATGACTGTGACCTGAATTTTCACCAGCATATCTGCCCTTAGCGGTTTGCTTTGCATTGTCTGACACTTTTTCCTCTCAGGCCGTAAAGCGGTGCTTGGAATGGTGAAGAAGTCCAAATATAATGAAATGTTACAAGCCGACTTAGAGGAGCGACGCACCACCTCACAAGTGAAATTTCCTATCAAGTACCATGTCCATGACATTGTTGGGGCAGAGTTAGTAGAAAGGTAATATTTAGTCTTTTTTTCTTTCAAACCAATTGACAATAGTTGCGGATTTAGTAAAATGTTTAATACCAAGCTAAAATAACCCATCTGTCCTTTCTCTCTGGAATCTTTTAAGATTGTTCGGAGAAGGTTTGATCTGATTTTCTAACTGTTTACGGTTTCTCTCTTTTCAGCATACCTACAACTTCGGGGACTTTGTTGCGATTTGCAGATTCATGAGGTTTTGACCAAGCAGATGGAGAGCTGCTGAAGATTAAAAATGTGAAAAACATCTGAAGACTTTTTCCAAGATGTAAAATTTGAGCCATATGTATTACAAACCCTTTGTAGATTAATGGATTGTACATTTTGTTCACATCGCATTGTAACATGCTGGGTTATCTTATAATTAAAATTACTTTTGAGACGTTACCCTTGGATAAACATTTATTTACTAAACAAGAGTTGCAATAAGTTGATTTTAGAGCTTATTTCTTTTATCTGATTATCCTTAATGCATACCAATGGAAAGGGGAAAAATAATTATGTGTGAAATAGATAAAAAGCTTCTATTGATGGTCTGTAGATGTTTTATATCTAAAGTATCTGCCAAGAAACAAAATTGGGCAGTGATAAGTTAAAACTGAAAAATCCCCAAGAATAAAATACTAGAGCTGCAGTCCAGTCCACAGGAATGTAAAATATAACATTTCAATAAAACTAAACTTTGTATCTTTTTCCCCCCCAACGTTTATCTTTGTTTTTGACAATAAAAGAATCCAGCCCTCTGAGCATCGGCAAGGTACAGAACCAAAACAAAGTGAACACAGCAACCGGTTGTCGTGTTCCAAAAGTCAGACAGTTTTCGAGGCTAATTTATATGTTATCCATTTTTCTTTAAATTGGGCTTTTTTAATCTGAAAATGAAAGTAATTCTTTCCATAGTGAATATTTCCTCCACAATGTTCATCCACTGAGTATGGTTGGGTGGCTCAGGTCTGAGCCATCTTCTTGTTATGGCTTTCCTCCCCGCTGACAGTAATATCTTAACCAAATACTGATCACCTTTATTCACATTAGACTTAAGGCCAAGATACATTTTGGTAACAGTAAATGGAACAGAATACAACAGTATTTTGCACAGAGTGAGGTGGATAGAAGGAGGGATGCACGATATAATCGGCCCCCTATCGGTATCGGCCTGTATCGGCCTTAAAACTGAATATCG